CTTAATTCATAATTTATCATGTTGGTGTACAAATTAGCTCTCCCTTTCTTGAAGGATCCTAATATTAAGCTTGTGTACATATAAATGTTTGTCTATTTGCTGTGAGTGGATCCTCATCTAAGGTCAACATTATTCTGTGCCACATCTGGTCAGTTATCCATGTGTACTTGTTCTCTTCATTGTTTCAGCAACACAACTCTGCTTTCTATGTTAGCGTTAGATGGACGAAATATGTTAGCATATAAATTTTGGTTGAGCGTACATGAGATCATGCATAAAGTTGTTTGAGCAATGTACATTGTGTTTGTTTTCTCATTATCTCTGGCATGGGACTGTTAGATGCCCATCTTAAAATTTCTTTTATCCTCTTGAGGGTCATGAGCTGAACCTTTTCCTCTCCTCTTAGATGGAAACTTTGATGACGAGTACTTCAAGGGGACAGAAGAATCAAATAAGTTTCGTCAGGAATATGAGATGCGTAGAATGAAGCAGGTAAAATTTTGTTTCACCAATCTAATCTTCGGTTTCATTTTGCGCCTCCACTGGATATGAGAGCTTCCGTCTAACCAGACCTGCGTTTGACAATGATATTCTGCAGGATGAAGGTTTGGATGTTATTGGTGAAGGGCTGGCAACTCTGAAGAACATGGCATCAGATATGAACGAGGTTTGCGTCCTGTACTTTCTTTCTAGTTATGCGATGATTGTGTGTACCGTACTAAATTGTTGTGATCATCAGGAATTGGATAGGCAAGTTCCCTTGATGGATGAAATGGATGACAAGGTTGGTGCTCTGGCAACCATCATTTTTTGTTCTTTCTTCTGACAGTTGTCTCAACATTGCTTAATGTTTGATAAACCGACGAATGCAGGTGGATAGAGCCAATGCAGATCTGAAGAATACCAACGTGAGACTGAAACAGACTATTCTTCAGGTACAAGTTCACTCTTCTCTCTGTATTTTCCTTGACTGTTGCTTTCTTGGTTTGGTAGATTGATGAGCTCATACATGTTTCTCCTCTTTGGATTGTTGTCAGATGAGATCCAGTCGCAACTTCTGCGTCGACATTATCCTGCTCTGTATCATACTTGGTATCGCTGCCTACCTTTACAAGTAAGTAATTTCCTTTGCCAAGCAACCACTCCAGTGGACCATTCTCCTTCACTTTTCATTAACTAGCCTGGATTCGTACCAGCCGCTGAATGAAGGATATAGTATTTTTACCTCATACTGTTTCTTTACTCGCTTGCTTGATTGTTACCACATCCATCTTGTTTAAATCACGCTGCTGCCCTGTTTGACCTCTCTAATGGTTTTGCTCCATGCATGCTGTTTTTCTTGTGTCACAGTGTGCTCAAGAAGTGAGTGAGGTGCAACGGCGTGCTCATGTCGCGGTCGGTAGTGGTCTTGCATTGGATTCTCTACTTGTCATGTCCTGCTGTGATGGGCTTCAACATGTGCCACGAGTAATTCGTTTCGTCTCATCTGTGTAATATCATGGTGTTGTTAGATTGTTATTATTATGCTTGTTGATGAAGCAGTGATGATTATATGTGTGTTGACCTGATCGATGTCTGATTGTATGTATATTCGGGAGTAAATTGCTTAGTAAGAGTATGAACGTCATTCTTTTGTTCTAAACCTGGCCATGTATGTATATTTGCGTTCCCTGGGGACTTTCTTTGAGTGGCATAAAGAAGTCATGGATCACAGTTTGCCCCTGAGTGTCGTGTTGGCTGGGCCGGCATGGATACAAATCCAAAGGCTAAACATGTGTTTCTTCCAACATAAAAGCGTTACTTACATACGTGTGATTGTTGTATTATACTCCCTCCGTCCGGAATTACTTGTCATCAAATTTTGGATGAGAATGGATGTATTTAAAGTATTTCCGGACGGAGGGAGTATATGACTAGAACAATGCCCGTGCATTCTATGGGCAGAAGGCGAGGAATTCCATGATCATGTTACACGAGTGCTCAAGTTCCTCTCTCACATCCCACATTTTCATCGACCTTGTGATTCCCTAGCAGACTTCAGTTTTAAAGATCAACTGTTTTTTACGACCAATTCATCCAGTGCGGGCAGTTTTCGTGCAAAGTGGAGTTGTCGAAGATGATTTGAGCCTAAGACTAGAACTTAAATTGCATTGGACAGAAAGGGTTTTGGGATTTTATGCCTAGTGGGAGCTGCCATTGCAAGAGTTGATGTGAGGTCTCACGCTTCCTTGATGTAGGCATGATGTGGCGTCAATGTAGACGCTCGGTGCAGATACCCGGCCAATGTGGAAAATATTCTCCGACGTATGGTATATGATTTTAGGGCGAGTAACATATGGGGCAGCTTGTTGTGCGACCCACATGTCAGAAACCACAAATTCAGGTGATCAAGTCGAGGATCTCAACCTCACCAGCACTGCCCTGCCAAGTCACGGGCAACGAGACAGGAGATGATCTTTCGATGATTCCCTATTTCTACAAGATTGAGCCAAATTTTTGTCAAGGCCTAAATAGAAAATGTGAATTATTTCTTAAATAAAAGTGAATTATTTGGGGAGCAAAATTATTAATAAACCGTCCAAGGGTATTTCGAGTCCCATTTCTACAGGATTAAGCAAAATTTCCTAAATGCACTTCCTCGTCTATCCATATCCATTCCGGATAGGAGGATTCACCCCGTCTTACACGTCTCGCAGCTCAAACCGTTCACCCCTAATTACTCGCCCGAGCTGCCCAAGATTACATCCAAATGAAAAGAGTGACGAATAACCAATACACCTGTTTATTATAAAATTTGTTAAAGCTGGTGGAATATTTCTAGGTCATTTAATTACAACAGAAATTGCTCTGCTCCTTGTTAATGGTTATATATTATGCTAACATGGAGCTAGTACTTAACCTTCTCATTGTGTTGCCAGGGCTGTACAAACACATGGATGGCCTAACAAATGATGTTGAGAGGTCAAATGAAACGGTAAGATTGGTCACTCTTCCTTAGGTTTCCATTCTGCAAAAAAGAGGAGTTGGAAGCTAAAGATGTGGAGCTGGCAATGTTAAAGGAGATGCTTTCCCAGAAAGGCGACGGCGAGGCAGTTGTGCAAGTATGAGCAGCATTCATGAACTTTTTTTTTTTTGAGGAACTGTTTGTTTGCCGTTCGGCTTGGATACAGATCGGTACAGTTACACACTAAGAAAGTGCAGCCTAATTTTACCAGGTTTTCTGATTCAAAGTTCCTTCCTTCTTAATGCACAGTTTGCAAACTCTTCAGCAATGCTAAGAAGCACATAGTTTGCTACTCTTGATCTGGAGGATACATCTGTTTGAGTGTCAACTAAGTCCGTCCGCACCGAGGGAGTAAGGAGAATTTCTGCGCATGAGATAGTGAGCCGCATAATATATTTTATTAACAGCGAGTCTGAAAATGCAGTTCAGAGATTGGACAAAGAACAACATGCAACGTCCAGAAATTCTACTACAATCTTGAGCATACTGGAAACCTAGCTAACAGCTTGGCCATTTTTCCAACCAGTTGCCAAGGCAGAGCCAGTATGCAGGGGGTGCTGATTCTTAAGAATGCAGTATCACTGTTAGTACAAGCTGAAAGTAAATTCAATAACTAGGCCTCACCATGACAAACCTAGTTTGCTTCGGAATACTTGAACCCGTACTTGTTAAAATACTCTCGAAATCCATACACGCTCTGGTCATAGTTGAACTGCATGCACACAAGGAAGGAAATAGCATCACATCAGCTCAACCTGGAGACTATGAACCGAACCTCTATACAGCATTAGACTTGACAGCAAGTGACTAATGCATGAATTGCTCATGCATGAATGTTTTGAAAGGACGCTTCAGGGCATTGCTTACAGGTAGGACTTTTGCAGAGTATTTCGTGATGCTCGGATCCACCATCTTACCTGGGTTAGCAGCCTGAAAAAATGCAGAGCATGCTGTTACCAGGATAAAATTGACAATATATAAAGAACATTCATGTGTAGGTGCAGATAACACGACGAGTATAAGTAAATAAAGAAGAAAGAAAGAAAGAAAGAAATTGAAACCAAATTCATTCTGGGCAAACGGTGCGGATGCCTAGCCATGAAATAATGGGAGCACATTAACCACGGCTAAGCAAATACTAATAACTAGAAACGGTACCGACGCCATTCACACTCAACAAAGAACAAACCGACCATACTTGAGCAAGTTAGCAGAGGAGATCCTTCTCCAATACGGAAATGAGATGCAAATGAAAACACTAATCCCTGGCCTGACAAAGAACACGACGAATCTCTAGATTGAGCCACATAATACACACATTTCCTGAAAACCTAGTCTACTCTCCCCCAAAAGAAGATCAGTGCTTCTCTGGTGTACCAGGAATTAAATTGCGCAAATATTGGAGCGGTGTAGTGTTGTAATCGTGGATGCAAATCAGACCGCAATGCAATATGTGCTTCACTCTTCCACTCCTACGAGGACCATGAGAGCACATAATACAGAAATTGTTCTCGAAATTTCCCTCAAAGCAGGGCATATGACTTCCAAAATGCTAAAGGTAACATGCAGAAAGAAGTTGGACCCTTTAACGATTCTCCAGCCATTAGCACACATAAGGATTAAGAAACTTATAATTCTTTAGCCACAAAGATTAAGAAAAGAAAAGAAAAGAAATATAAGATTAAGAAAAAAAAAGATTTCATAAGATCAAGAATCAAGATTGTTGACAAAAATATAAGTGGCACATAATTCAAAGTAAAGAAGTGGCAACATGTGTTAACCGATGTAACGTAAAGTAAACAATCATAACCTGTTCTGGGTTGTAAAATACTTCAAGAAATGGATACTCAGTCTTTTGCCTCGTGAGGCAAAACCCAGGATACTTTGGGCATTCCACCTGACAACATAGAACAAAATAATAATTCCTATCAGTTCGAGACTAAAGGCAAACAGGATGGCAGCAGTCACAATTTGTATAGATGGGAAGCAAGAAACCACAAATTTGAAGCATAGTGTATCATGATATTACCCAAGTTAAAGCATCCAAATGAGAAGGAAATCAAAAGTGACAAGTCTGATTTGACAGGCAGCCAATTAAACTATCCTGTGACTAACTGATTGTATCTTTGTACATCATAATATCTACAATTGATAAAATAATAAAAGCACAACTATTTTTTAGAAAAGACAAGTACAACTATTCACACATCTAAGCTTTCCATAGAGCTGCTTCTCTTGCAGGTGAAAGAAAAGGCTAGAAAAGATCATCAAAGATGCATTCGCAAAACAAAGAGCTTCCACACATGTGCCTGAAGCTCAACAGAAGACTGAAATTGGTGAACTTTATAATGCATGCTGAATTAGATTAATCTTGCGATCATCGCCAAAGTTAGTACAAAGTTGAGTCACTTATTTTGGGACGGAGGGAGTATTATATTAGGTGTCTAAAAATTAAATCAGATAGGACTAACTTCAAGGTTTTGAATTTTAACACACAGTTAAGACAGCAAACCAACCTTTACAATGTTCCATAATAGCAAGCCATGATAATTTGAACAGAAAAAGCAGAGTGCATTGAAGTTTTCAAAATAACTCATCATCTTATAAGTGACCCGAAAATACTTATGGCATATTTTTTGCGGGCGTAATAAGAGTAGTGGCTTACCCGAACAAACTTTATATGAGGATAAAATGCAGCAGCAGCTTCCTCCAGTACTTTGTCAAGATGCTGTGTATAAGTGCACCTACCAAAGCAATTTCATTACTGTTGTAAGCATGTGCAAAGCTATTGATATAGGACAACTTAACTATTCTTATGTTTCTGAACAAAAAACATGAGACTAACATACTTAATGGTAAAGGCCACAACTACAGGCCGTCCTTCATGTAATAGCTGCACAAACTGACGCTCTGATGTGAACGGTATGATTCTTGATGGCCCTAGATCCTTGGGATATCCAGTGTAGTACCTTCAACAACAAGATGATTCAAACATAATAAAATAGTGATACAGCCAAAAAAACGGGAAATGAGTTAAATTCTACTATTTGTAAAGCTGGGAGAGCGAACAATGCCTGCCAGACAGTGTGTGCAAACAATGACTTCCGGAGTTAGTGCAAGCAACAAGCTACAGGTTTTATAACCGTCTTTAGAGCAATTGATATTCATAAACAAAAAGTGCTTGCACGCACTGGTGAATAAAGTCTCAAGGTAAGGTTTAGTTCGTTCATGCTGAAGACAAAAACAGAATTAGATAGATATACAAAGGATGTAATGAGTTTGTTGCACACATCGCACTACATACCCTACATATCCGAAGATATTCTATCCACATATGTTATATCTTTTCTATATCTCAGTAACAGGATTAATCCAAAGCTGTCTTGTCAATAATAAATTAATTATACACTAAGAGAATGGCTACAAGTGACTATAGAATTCATCTTGCCTAATTGAAATAGTCACGAACCACCATCTAAGATTAAGATGACATGTTCAACTTCTTCAACAATCTAAATAGTGTAAATGCATGAGCACTAATATTTTACTATTAGTTTTGCACTCTTCAGCATACAATCTATCACCGGTTCTACTGGAATACTTGGCATGCTAAAGAGACTATGTATCACTTCCAAAATGGGATTAATGAGATGAATGATGCCACTTTCGCTGTACTCGGTCTATGCAAGCATGCTATTTTCCAAAATAAAAAGTGTCAAATCACCTGAAGTGGAATCTATATGTTCTGCTGAAAAACACACAGGCCAAGATGTACGGAAATAGAACTAAAAGGTGGGTTGAGGGATGTGGAGGTTTTCCTCACTTGGATGTCGACCGAAGCTGGGAAACCATCCTATCCAAAAATGACGCGCCGGCCATCTCCGAGGCACACATAGCGCGAGTGGGCGAGGCGTGGCTGGGAACGTAGGGGTCTCAGCAGTGGCGGAGCTACAAACAAATTGCTGCGCGGGCCAAGCTAAAGAACAACAAAAAAAAGAGATCAAATTCTGGTCCGCCACTGCTGAGACCCCTACGTTCATCTTCTTGACCACCTACAATTGATGCATGCTATAAAAATTATTACACACCACCACATATTGCAAAGATGTACTGGACAAGAGCAATTTGAACAAAAAGATGTACTAGACAACAGCAATTTGAGCAAAAAAATGTACTGGACAGCAGCATATACAAGGGGGGAGGAAGAGGGATTTGTACCTTGAAGAGAGATCGCTCTGCCGCCGCGCCGGAGTAGCACCTAGACCCCTGCCTTCTTCCCCTTGTATCCTGCAGATCGAGAGAGGATGAGATGAATAAGCCGTCCACGCAGATCCATGGAAGAGAGGGCTGGTGGCGTAGGAGAGGCAGCAAGAAAGGGAGGGAGGAAAAGGGCCGGCGGCGCAGCAAGAATGGGAGGGAGGGAGAGGGCCGGCTGTGCAGTAGATGGAGCGAGGGAGGGGGCCGCGGCGCGCACGAGCTGAAGCTAGGGAGAGGGCCGGCGGCGCGGCAGAGAGGGGGTAAGGAAGAGGGCCGGCGGCGCACCTGAGTGGGAGGAAGGAGGAGATCCAGCGGCGCAGGAGAGGAGCAGCGATACGGGCGTGGGACCCGACCCCCGGTAGGCGCACTGAGACTTAGGGAATAGGGCATGTACAATGGTGGCATATGAATAAATATGTCCCATGACAAAAAGTAATTTGAGGCATCTACATTTATTTTTTCTCCCCAATGCAAGCTATCACTAGTGGGTCTCATTAAAAAAATAGAAAATAAGGATTCTAGTACACATGCATCTCTACTTTTCACTCCAATCTTTTCAGTTTTTGTCACCGGACCACACTTTTTCTCTTCAAGCACCCGCCTCTTGGAGAGGATCTCGCTTCCCTATCCGAACCTACTTGTAACACCCTCAGTGTCATGCTACAGTAATCCCCTGTTAATGGTGCCAGGTCACCATGCTTACTGAGCTAATTATCACTTGATAAAAAATCAAAGTCAAAGTCAAATTCAAATTATGAGGGGAATTCAAAATTTCTCAAACATGAAAACAAAAATGTTCATCATGTGCCAAATATTCCACAACTAATATTGGTGGTGAACCAACATTTTTGCAAAGGGTTTAAGTGGCCTAAACTACTTAAAACAGTGACCTAAGCAATAAATTAAATGCCCTTTTTAATTTATAAAATTGGCAACTATTCCAAAAGCCTCCCAACCTTTTTGAGGCAGTGCACTTTAATTCTTTGAAATTGTTTTGGCCAGTGGCATAATTTTGCAAAGTCAATTGTGGCTAAAAGAAAATGCAAAAGCTGCTGGAAAAGAAAAGGAAAAACAACAAAAAGAAAAAAAAGAAAAGGAGAAGTAGAGGGGAGAGAGAGGCCCTCTGCCTCACTCAGGCTTCGGCCCACCCGAGCCAGCTGGCCCAACAAGCCGGCCCACACCCCCCCTGGGCCGTCGCTCTCCCCCTTCCCCTGTTCAACCGACCGAGGGCGCGCGCCCGCGCGTCGCCGCCGGACCACCTCGCCGTCGATGGGAGGGGATAAGGCCGCCCCGACGCCTCGGCCCCCTCGCCTCCCACTTGCCCACTTGCCCCCTTTCTCTCTCTCTTCTCTCGCCCACGCGCTCGCTCCGCCCCTCCTCTCCTCCAGATCCGCGGCCCGAGCGCAGTCGCCGCCGCCCTCCGTCGTTGTCGCGGCCACCGACGGCCCCGCGCCCGCTAACCTTGACGGTGAGCTCTGCCGTCGTCCTCTCCATCGACCAGTGGCCTCAGCTGGAGTTGGGGAGCACCGAAGCGCCGGATCCCTTTCGTCCACGTCTCCGGTCGTCGCCGCCCTTCATCGTCTCCGGCGCCGTCTCCGCTGCTACTAAGCCTCCGAGGGCCACCGTGCGTGCCGCAAGGTGAGCCCCTTCCCCCCTCTCTTTTGCTCCCGTATGCGCCCAGAACGGTTGGACCCGCCATGGCCGAGCCGAGCTCCGCCGACGAGCTCGTTGCCGTCGTGGTGACCGTCGACACGCTCGCCTGAGCTCACAGTTGTGCTCCTAGGGTTCCCAGGAGCCCTACGCGCACGCGCACGCTTCCTCCCGTGCCTCCCAGCATCGTCCCCGATGAGCTCCGGAATGCATCACCGTGGAGCTCGCCGCCGGCGAGGCTCCGGTGACCTTTTGGTCACGGGCTCAAGCCCGTTGGACTCGTCGCACCACGGGGATCCTCCCCAGCCTTTCCTTTCGTTCCGTAGCACGCTGCTTTGCCTTTGCCATCACACGCCTGAAGCTCATCGCCGCCTTTCTCGTCGCCGGCGATGCTCCAGTCGTCCCCGACGACGGTCGTCGTCACCATCGTGTGGGCGGCGCCGGGCCGCGCCCTTAGGTCCAAGCCGTAGATCCGGAGGCCCCTGTAGCGCGGCCCCGGCTAACTCCGGCGAGGCGCCGCCGTCGCCTTGGTCGTCGGAGCCCTCCCCGGCGCAGCCGCCAACATGGATGCGTGGGCCCCATCACCTGAGTCACTGACGCTGGGCCCAGCGGGTCCCAGTTGACTGGGTTGACCCAGTCAACTGCTGACTGGGCAGCCCAAAGATGCTGACATACGGGCCCCACCGCGTAATTAGTTTAACCCACATTTTATTAATTAAAACCTAATTAGTTGCATTTTAGAGACTGACATGTGGGGCCCAACTGCTAACTAACACCTGTTCAATTAAAATAACCCCACTATTAGCCCTCTCTCTATGACATGTGGGACCCACTGGTCAGTTTGACCAGTCAGCGGGTCTGTTGACCTGCTGATGTCATGCTGACACTCTGCTGGCGTCATATTTCATTTTCTGTTAATTTAAATAATTCCAGAAAATGGTTTAATCTTTGAAAATTCATAGAAAATAAACCGTAACTCGGATGAAAATGTTTTCTACATGAAAGTTGCTCAGAAAAACGTGAAGAATCCGGATAGGCGGCCCGTTTACCTGTCAGATACCTCTAACTATCTGAACATGGAATATTCCCCCTCCGGTCATCTGTTTGACATAGCTCCGGAACCGGGAAAACATTCTCGGTTGAATTCCCCCTTCACCTTTATCGTGTAGCCATACGTTAGGTCACACCCGGCACATCATTTTGCCACGTTATGCTTTGTGATGCTATGTTTACTTTATATTTACTATTTCTTCCCCCTCTTCTCTCCGATAGACCCCGAGACCGATGCTGCCCCTATGATCGACTACATCGACGACGACCCCTCCTTGCCAGAGCAACCAGGCAAGCCCCCCCTTTGATCATCCCGATATCGCCCATTTCATTCTCTCATGCTTGCATTAGATTTTGCTACTATTATTGTTTGCTCCTATTCTGATGCATAGCCTGCTTTTGTAACCTGCTCATTGTTACCTACCTGCTTATCCTAAATTGCTTAGTATAGGTTGGTTAGTGACCCGTCAGTGACCCCCCACCTTGTCCTTGATGCCCCCGCTTCATCATCGAAGACCCGATCAATGGGATCGAAGACCAGGCCCCGACACCGCACATCACTTTCCTCTTAGTTGTTCGACACTACTGGGTTACTATCGAGTACCGAGGGTGAGACCTCTTCAGCACTTCTGATGTTAACCCTGTAGTGTAGTCATTCGGTCGTGGTCATCGAGGGTGATTTCCTCCTTAACCACTTCCGATACGGCTCTGTCGTGCAACCCCTCAAGTGTGAACCTCGGGGGTGATTGCTCTTACGTTCACCTTGATGATTACATCTAGTGGAATTCATCGGGGGTGATTCCTCGGGTTTTCCCCTTGATGTTTGGACACACGGATACTTGGACTTTACCAATGTTACTTGGAAAGACAGGTAGACCCTGAGGGGTGCCCGCGCGAGCTTAATTGCGAGTGATGTGGAGTCGGGTTGACCTGGAGGGTGCCCGCGAGATAATTACGAGGCGTGGCCGGGCATTCCTAGCCCTTGCCACAAGTCCTCGAGACGGGGCAACGGGGTCACATCTTTCGTGAGTCTCTGCTTGTTACCGCGCATTCCTAATCCACTACGATTTGGATATTTGATCCGAGGGGCCTCTGGCCTGATAGCACTAACCATCACGTGTGCATAGTATGGGCGTTCTGCGTCGTATGCATCAGCCAGAGCTTAATAGACGTCAGCGACTGAGCGGCGCGCGCCGGGTTGGACTGCGTAAGCGCCTGCCTTGTTGAAGGAGGTAGCTAGGTCTGCTCACCGGCCGCCCATGCAACGTGCAGGAGTTCCCGGGGAGATGGCCCATGACCCCTGGGGGCATAGGTTTAGTCCGGCGTGCTGGCCTCTCTATTAAGCCTAGGTCGGGTTGCGGCGTATTGTTTGGCCGAGGCCGGGCATGACCTAGGAAAGTGTGTCCGGCCGGAGTTAATCGAGCGTGGTGGGTAAGTTGGTGCACCCCTACAGGGAAGAAAACATCTATCGATAGCCTGTCCTACGGTAACGGACACTTGGAGTTGTATCCCGATCGATACAACTAGAACTGGATACTTGTGATGAGAATTGGTTTGTGATGATAACTGGATAGTATGGCTCTGGGATTGCTTTCTCACAGGGTGTCGAGAAAGGATCTCTGGCCGAGGTTGATAACACTACTACTACTTTACTTTATGCTACTCTACTCCCTCCTGTTTGCTGAAGATGGTGGTTTCCAGAAGATGTTAGTCTTCGATAGGACTAGGCCTTCTCTCTATTCTGGCATTTCTGCAGCCCAGTCCATATATACAACCTTGCTTTGATAATGTTGCATATGTAGTGTAGATCCTTGCTTGTGAGTACTTTGGATGAGTACTCACGGTTGCTTTGCTCCCCCTTTTCCCCCTTCTTTCTTCTTTCTGGTTGTTGCAACCAGATGGCGGAGTCCAGGAGCCAGACGCCACCTTTGACGACG